GCTGTCATCAGATGCTTAGTGGGATCTGAGGAAGACTGGTGCAGACAACTGAAGTGAATTGCAATCTTTAACATCAGGCTTCATCTTGACCTGGTGCTGAAGGATATATCAATCCATCACTTTTCATTTAAAATAATACGCTGGACCTTGGTCAAAAATATTACCGATATAAACAAATGGTATGGTTGATGGATCACTCCATTGCCAGCAACCAATGAAAAATACTTTAGTGTTTTTCCTTAGTTTGGCAAAGTCCTCTTTCTTAATTAAAGCTGACAACTGTAGGGATAAAAGGACATCTGAAATATTGTAGATGTTCTGATGAAATGTGTTCCCCAAAGGCTTGAATCCTACTCTTTCCTGTAAGAACTGTGACTCCTTAGGAGTGATTATAAAATGGCTGCTCAGAGTATACTGATGATTGAACAGATCTGCAAACTGTACCTGAGTCATCCCACTTTACAGCTCAGCATTTTAAGGAAATTTTATTTTGGTGCCCATTTGCCTTAAACCATTATCAACAAAAGTAACACAGGAGCTGCTTAAGAAGCAGCATAGAAGTCTCTGTCGTGGAGGAGGACATGACTGCCTGCTGCAGTAACCTGCTATCTTCACCTAGGGCAGGTCACCCCCACCGTGAATCAAATCCCTGCAGCTACAGTTGCTGGGTTGGTTTTGTACTGTCTGTGGTGGTCCAAGACTGAAAGGTACAGCACATCATGCTTTGGGGACATTTCCTCTGGCCTGAAAATTACAAAAAAAAAAAAAAAAAAAAAAAAAAAAAAAAGTGTTGGAATCCTAATCTTTGATTGCCTCAGACTCATTTTCTCCTTAACGATGGGAAGACTATTTGCATTGATTAATGCATTTGTTGTTTCAGATGCATTCATAGTGAATTGTTATAATTTAATCTAGGCTGTGCAGGGTCCTGGGGGGAAGCAACCAAGTGCAATATATATCTGCATCATTAAAAATAATTTAAATATGCTGACAGATGGAAAATAATTGTACAAGTGATTTCATAGTGTTCCATGTTTATTCCCCGGTAATGATAAATTAATGTTGGTTTTCTCAGTTTACAAGTCAAAAAGCAGATTTTTAACATGTCAGCCTTCAGTCTGGGCTCTGTAAATCAATAAACTGAGCAGATACCTGACTTACATTTAGTCCTTGATACTACAGATTCAAGCTTCTGATATTCATTCCTTCATTTAATCCCTAAAAGTCCTCTTAAGGTCGGTAAATATTATTGCCATATTACTGGTGGAGAAATGCAGTGTAGGGCAGGCTAAAAGTAACTTTACAGAAAGTAGTTTAAATAAAGGGCTTTTAGACAGTCTACAAATCTTAATCTCAGAAGGTAATTGAATATTTTTTATGCTACTCTAGGTGATTTCTTCATTGAGAAGCTGCCTCTGACTGAATTGACCATGTCTTCTGGGACCAAGCATGGTTTACTATGCTTAGTAACATAGAGAGTTAACATGTGCAATGACAAAGTGCTATTTCTATATTAAAACAGAATTCTATGTAGAATTTTGTCAAAACAACATCCTGTTGTGATATTTGAGGAATATGACAAGGATTAATGGATGAAAAGATTATAGGTTTATCGATCACACATAATCCCTAGATGTTTTTTGAACTATACATAGGGATCACTTAATCTGCTGCTGGAAAGCAACCATGTGAGAGCTAGAAGGCAACAGCTGTTGGAGAGCTCAGAGCACTATTGCATGACAGCTGAGTGGGGAAAGTAAAAGAGGTCTCTTTCCCATGCCAAATACTCTTGTGGCTAAAATCTAGTTACTTACTGAAGTACAGTGGCAAGGCCGCACTGGAAAAGGAAAACTAAAAGTCATATTATTAAGGAAAGAGATGTAAAAAAATGAAATTGCCATGTTATTGCTTAAATATGTTAATTTCCCTGTTCCTCAGTGTAATTAAGCCCTCAGTAGGGCTGTCAAAAATCAGTGTGTAAAATGTAGCTGCTAAACTTTTCACCAGTTTCTGTACTCGCATGTGCAGTGACCCTTTCATTCTTTCCTTCTGATGTAAGACAAAGTCATGTGATGAACCAGATAAAGCCAAATGGAAATACAGGTACTATGCAGTAGGATTATCCCAGAACCTTTACATAAATTGACCAATAGGACAGCTCTGCAGTACTGTTTTTTGTATGGACTGTTTTCCTGGGAAAGGACTGGTTGAGCTTTGTCCAGCAAGACCCAGACTTTACGGTTATTTTGAGGTGGGTAAATAAGGGGCTTGAAGACCAAGGTCAAGACTGCATATTGATCTTCACAAATGCTAAACTTTAGGACCTGAAAAATAATTCACAAGAATTGGCTGTCTTAAATACATTGGTTTTGGCAATTCTCTGAGTGCAACCACTAGTTTGGCTAATTACAGGGAAAGACAGTGATAAAAACTTGGTAAACCCATCAGATTGTTCAGTAAATGCAATTATTATTGTGCAGTACAGGAAGTCTTGTCATGGACAAGACCCTTTAGGCTACAGGAACAAAAAAATCAAATGGTTTATATCCCAGTTGTCTTGCAGATAGCACCACTGTGATGTTTGTCACTTAATGATCACTGGGGAGAAAATTTATGAAGCATTGATTTATCTGTAAGCAAGAGTACTACACAGGATTTTATTTATCTCAGGAACATTTTAGTCACTTCTGATTCAATCGGATACTAGAAAACACACTTTGGCTCTCCTGTCAAGGTATCTTATTTTATTAGATATTTCCCAAAATATCAAGAGAATTACATATGTATGAGTCTCCAAGAAAGCCTCTGAAGGAAGGATACAAATGTTCTTGTTCTTGAAAGAATATCCTCATATTATCACAAGGTTTTAGTGATATTGCCATTTTTCTTTCCTGGCTGTGGAGTTTTGTGGGCATTACTCATGTCCAGCCATTCATCAGTGTCTGTTAGGGCACTTTAACTTCCATTTGCCACCTTGAAATGCTCTAATCCTTGCAGTGGATTCCTGTGGCAGAAGCCTGACAGTGATCACTCTTTCAGGTTGGGGTTTGCTGTGGGGCTGGCACATGGGAAGAAGGACACTGAGGCAATTGTTGCAGTGGACCTTCGCTAGCCTGGTCAGTGGGAATGCTCAAGCTGGTTATACTGGTTTTCAGCAATTTTGAGAGGCTCCCTTCCTGTACCAGTATGTGGGATTGTACCTTGAACATAATGGTAATACACAATTGGGCTTTATTGCATTTCCTTCAGGTTGCTGTGGAGTCCACTGTTGACTGAGTATTGATATTTCTTAATATATGAACTGAATTGAATTTGTAGCTTAAGAAATCCCAAACCTGTGTATTAGAACTTCTTTCTTTCCATGGCTTCTCTCCTTTATAAAGGTAGAGTTCAGGACTGTGAGAAAAGAAACAAAGAAAACAAGTTCAATCTTAATTTCTGAAATTTTGGGGCAAAGCTTGCTTGCTGCTTAGGAACAAAAGCATTTTCTGTTAGCAGTTGGAGATATTCTCACCACAATCTAGACCAGAACATTGATGTGAAACAACAACTAAGTAAAATCTCTTCAAACGATCCTGATTTTGAAACACGGTTGAAATGGTTATTTGCTACGTAACATGTTTGTCTAAATTGGACTCAGTTACCCTATACTGAGATCAAGTATGTTGTCTTGCTGAAACAGGGGCTGTTAAAGCCAAAGACTGTGTTTGTGTGGCTGGTGTGTAACTCACTGTGGATGCAGCCGAAATACAGGAAACAATAAGTGCTTTCTGGATTTGAAATTTTCTTTTTGACAGTCTTTCAGTAGTAACATAGCAGGATTTAACCATTGTCCTAAGGTCTTCATTAAATGCTAGTAAGCGCTTATTACTGTGATAGTGGAATGCAAATAGCTACCTGATGATTGAAGGGCTGCTTATAGGAGTAACTGCTCCTGAATAAAGTTTTTCTTATTTGTCTCTGAGATTAAAATTGGAAAAGACTAAGAAATGCATGGCAGACATTTTATTTTTGAGGATCTTGCCTTTCTTGTAGACTGGCTTAATTTTTTGCAGTTAACGTTTGCAAAGTTGTATGCTCAGCTGCAGGGATATTTTGTGTAGTTTATGGATTGTATGTTCAAAATAGAAGTTTATGCAAACAAAAAAAATAAAGCCAATCACTAATAATTTGTGCATGTAAATAATCCATTGTAGATACCATCAGTTTAATTGCATGTTCAGATTAAAAATCCTTATTTGAAAACAAGCCTCTTAATATTCAGTTGTGTCAAATTCTGTTGAAACGTGCAATAGTTTTGTGATAGTTAACAATGGGAAAACCGTAGAAGTCTTTGATTTAAATAAGTACCAGAAATGTGGATGTTTATCCATCCTACACATATCTCTTGAGTTTTCTTGCAAAATTTCTGGTTCTTCATGCCTTGAGGGAAGCTAGACATGTGTTGCAATTCTGCAGAGACAAATGAGAAGATAATTATTCATTCATTTTTGAGTTTCCTCACAGAGGGTAGTTTAAGGGGTTTTTTTTTGTCTACTTTCCTCATTATAGTGGTAATTACAAAGCTGGAAGAGTTCTATGTGTTTGGCTTATTACTAAAGTAATTCAGATCTCAGTTGTGAATCTTTTAGGTCTCTTTTTTTTGTTCAAATGCATGAATCTTCAGAGTTTTCTTATTCTAATCTGTGATGTTAGTAAGCTTCTACTGCAAGCTTACTGATGGATGCCTCAGAGACCTGTGCCACTAATTATGCTCTGAACTTTTTCTCAGACCGTCTGTCTCTTTGTGGTAGGTTAGGAACTTGGTCCCCAGCCTCAAACATTACCAACTCAACTGTAATGAAATAAAAAGCTGCTTACTGCATGACATGAAAAGGCTGCACTTAGCAGTGTTCGTGCGGTGATGCTAAACAGGTTTGAAGCTGGAACGCTGCTGAACTTGGCAGTTTCCTTGTTAAGGTATTTTAATCAATCCCATTGCAATGTTTTCTCAATGCTAGAATTCTGCCAAACATCTGGTTGGGAAGTTGCCCTCGGCAGCTGGAGCATGTGACCGTCAAGCTGAAGCACGAGCTGGGTGTTACAGCTGTGATGAACTTCCAGACCGAATGGGATATCGTTCAAAATTCCTGGGGCTGCAACCGCTACCCGGAACCTATGAGCCCTGAAATCCTCATGAAACTGTATAAAGAGGAAGGTATTGCTTATGTCTGGATGCCAACCCCAGACATGAGCACTGAAGGTAATGCTCAGGCCACTCTTGCAGTAAATTAATAGTAACAAACCCCATGAGTTACTAATCTGACACTTTAATGTCTTTTTTTTTTTTCCTGTGTAAATTTTGCATAAAAATATAGCTGACACACAAGGTATAATTTCTCTGTGTGTTGTCTCTAACAAATTATTCATATTTTCCTGTAGGCCGAGAGGCCATCTAAAATACTTTGTGTCTGGCAGCATATGTGAATTTGAGTTTAAAGCCATCTGACATTGATAACTGCTTGACTGGTTTTGCTTTCAGCTTGAATTCAGTCCATATAATGAAAATGTGCTGTGTAGATGGAAGACTGCAAGCTTGTACAGCAGGACGGCTTGCCATCCTTGCTGGTTAAAAATGGAGAGACAGTGCTGTATGTCTGTTCCTGCTATTCCCTTCCCCCAACAAATAGTTTTTTTTAACTATAGCATCCCAGTCCGATGAATCTCTGTAGCGTCATTTTTATAATTATTTGTAATTAATTTAGAATTCCTATAGCACCTGATGTTGTAACATAAATTATTATTTTTAATTTCTCTGTTGGAATGCTCAGTTTAAAATCTTGTTTCCCACCAATAGGTTAGTGTGTGTGTTTTCAAGTGAGTAGTCTACCAGCAGAAGAGAATGCTTTCAACAGAGTGAAGTACTGCTACCACAAATAGAGAACTGTCATATCAGTAACAGGACATCAGGGAAGACAGGAGACCTTAAAATGGGGATTTGAAAAGTCTTAATTTCAGTGCTTGTCTGTGCCATGAGGAAAAGTTAGGCTGCAATGTTTGCAGATTCAGTTCCTGGGGTAACAGGAAGAAAGGTGTCAGGAAATATGGTATATTCATCACTTTGGGTTTGAGAAAGCATATTCTGTGTTGTTTAACCATATGCTTAGTACACAATTATAGCGTAGCAGTATTAAGTTCTACAGGAAAATCCTCTTCTACTCTCCCTCCCTCACTTATTATTGACATAACGGCCTTCATTACGATGTTTTGGAAAGCAGCAATACCTAGGTGTTGTGGTAAGGCATTAGCTGTTTTTTTCCATCTGCTAAGCCACAGGAGTGCGGCGCTCAGATCACAGCTAACCCTTGCAGGAGGTTAACCTCCGTGGGAAAAGAGAGCACAAACACCAGTATGGTGGATGCTATCTATTTGATTTATTAACTGCGCAATTGCTTTATATACCCCTTTCTGTACCTCGTGAGATCTTTAGTTCCCTGTTCTTTCCGTGCATTACGAGATCTTTTCATGTGCCTCTGTTTTTCCTGTACATCGCGAGATCTTCCGAGCGCCTCCCCCTACACATAGGTAGCTTCACAAACCTCTGGTACTAGAAAACATTTCATTTTTGGCTTGCTAACTGTAATGCTACGTAAGATACGCTGTTTGATGTAATTTGCCGCCTTGTCTCAGTCTCTGTGAAAATGAATATGCCACACACATCCAATGTTACTCAGAATGTATATTTAGAGATGAATTCAGGCATTTTACAGACTTTGTGTGATCTGACTTTATGTTGCAGGAAAAGACAAAGTTAGAATAGAAGGTCATTTAAAAAAAAAAACAAAACAAAACCAACCCCAAATATGTCAGGTTTGCCGTTATGATTCACAGTATATCAGGCTGTAGAGACATAATCTCAACCGTGAACCTAGCTTTCTCAAATGCAAGTTAACATCCCTTGTTTTTAACCTCAGGAAGAATACAGATGTTACCACAAGCTGTCTGCCTCTTGCATGGGCTGCTGGAGAATGGACACACTGTCTATGTTCACTGCAATGCTGGCGTTGGCAGGTCTACAGCTGCTGTCAGTGGCTGGCTGAAATACGTGATGGGATGGAGCGTACGGAAAGTGCAGTACTTTTTGGCTTCCCGGAGACCAGCTGTCTACATAGACGAGGAAGCTCTGAATCGTGCTGAAGATGATTTCTACCAGAAATTTGGACATCTTCATTCCTCATGCAAAATACAAGAGTAAAAAGCAGAAGAGGTAAAGGAAGGTGAAGACGAATCCTTACATTTGCACCCCAAGGATTTAGAAATCATGAATCAGATGATTGCCTCTCCTCTTCAGATTATAAACTTGTCGTAAAAGTAATGAGAATTTTGTTTAAAAAGTGCCTTTGAGGATTTTTTATTTGCTTTCTTTAAGCTGATATTTTTCATGTTTTCAGGCCTTTTGCTGCAAGTATGAGACCTGGAAACTCTGCAAAGTGAAACTAAGATTTTCTTTTAACTACTTGCCTACAGGAGCTGAGGTTTTAGGGTAGACATGAAGTGAAATGTAGTTGGCAATATAAGAAGAAGAAGGAGGTATTCTCAGAAAAAAAGGTTATGCAAAGGTTGACTGGATTAAGGTTCAGGTTAGGATGGAGCTGATCATCTTTAAAGCTTCTCAGTTATTTTAGGTGGAGTATACATTATTGAAGTGTTTTCTAGTAATTTTGTAGACAGGTGGTATTAGTGAAAAAGACCAGAAGGGAAGTGATTTTTCAGCTCAGTTTCTTAAACAAAAAGCTAATGTCTAATGCAGTGAACTAAGATTTGCTCTCTTTGCCTATCTAGTTAATGCTAAATATTATGAGTTACAGCTAGGTTCTTTTATGACACTGGCGTTAGCGGGGATGTGTCATGAAGAGAGGAAACAGATCCACTTAATGCAGCTTTACTCTGTTGCAGGGAAGGACTACTATTTATTACATTATCCTATGTGTGAGATCTCTAATCAAAGATACATTTTGGTCTTCTGGACCATACAGTGCTGTACAGTGGGCTCCCTAGGTGCCAGGTCAATCTAAGCAGTAACCACTGGGCTAAAACAGGGCCAGTAGGAACTGTGTAATAAATCTCAGCACATGATTGACACCACAGTCTCTGTGTTGTTGACCTAGATTAATTTCTTCACTGTAGCAAAAGTCTTTTCTTGTGCAAACAGTGTGTGGATGTTCACAGATGCTAGATTTAGCCTGTTGAAGCTAATGCTGGACTATCTCCGGGGTGAATTAAGTGAATACATTCCTCTCTAGGAGCAAAGAGCAACTCTGAGAAGTGTTTCTCAGGAGCTTAACGTCAGTAGGCTGAAGTTGGCTTCATGGATGATCCCTAATGTTTTCCAGGGTGGCTTAGTCCTTTAGCAAAACTAAGCAGTGGCACCAAGAGCTTTCAGTACTGCTCAGGTAAAATCAATTTGCTGTAGGTTAAGTCCAAGAGAGAAGGGAGAAAAGGCATTTCCTAAAGAACAAAGGATTAAGGATGCATAAACATGATGAAATCTAATTTCTGTAGGTTTATTCTTTAGTGAAATCTCTTTTTTTCTGCCAACTTGTTCCTCTGAAGACCCAGTCAGTGCCAGAGTGGTTTAGCTGATATATATGGATTGTCTGAACACTTAATGGAGAAATTATTAGATATGAACTGATATGGAGAATGTCGAGAATAACATTTTATTTATCCTATACTTCAATCATCTTCAAAAGGGAAAAATGTTTATTTAAGTTATTCTGTATGTGTGGTTTTTGCTTCTGATATTTTGAAATAACACTGCCTGTTTAGAAAATGGATGAGAAAAGTTGTCTATTAAATAAAAACACAATGACAATTCCAGCAGCCCATTTTGTCATATGTCTTTGGCTCCCAATTTCATGAGTAGCAAAAAGGGTCATGACTGATATTTCTATATAGAAGTGGGACCAGCCACTTTAATGATAACAGACCATTTCTTGTTTACTGTGCTGTGTCAGTTTCGGTGGGCTGTTGAGGAGGAAATCTCAAAAAACAGCACAGCAAAGATGTGTACAGCACCTCTGCTACCTCAAAAGACAAAATAAGGGATTTCTTCTCCTAGCCTGATGTAGAGAGCAGAAGGACTGTGTCAGTGCTGCTGTATGGCTCTTTGGCTGTCATGCAAATTTGCAGAGCTACACCTGAGTGCCCAGGAGTTACCTTGTTTTGACTGAGTTTAAAGTAAAAATTATGAGCTTTTGCTACCATGTGCCTCTCAAAATCAAGTGCTGAGAGGAGGAGGATGGCATAAGAAGTAGAGAGTAAAACTCAAGTGAGTTTTACATTTCTGTTGAGATATATTTGAAACCACAAGCTTAAAATGTGTTTCCAAGCATTTCTGACATCAGATGCAACTATGTTGGGACAGGTACTTGTGGGTTTGGTTCTTGTTTCACAGCTAGCTATATTTCTCTTTTGGGGCTCTTGGGACTGAACAGTGCATAACATGGCACAAAGAGGTAAGTATATGACTAAGTATGTATAGCCATGCTGTATCAGCTATTTCCTTATTCTGATTTTATTGTTATTAGAAGCAGACTGATGCTTCATTTTTAAGGCAGGAATTCAAGTGGTACAGAAGCCACAGATTCAGAGAAACCCTAGCAAGGGGTTTTTAATTCGCTGTTTATTGTCATTTCGACAAGGGATTGTTGATTCATTGCTTATTGTCATTTCAGTTTGCTTGTCTGCTGAACTGCTGGGGACTATATCATATAGAGATTGCATTAGCCAATGAACTGCGTGAAAACAACTTGCCAACATCATGTTAACAAAGAATGCAAAGAGGTCCCACAGCTTTCAGTCCCTTTTCACCTGTTTGTAGCATACTTTTTTTTTTTCTCATCGCCACCTTTCCATCATCCTTATTGAAGACCACCCTGTTGAGTAACATTCATTCAAAGCCTTGTCTGTTGAATGCAAGTAGGAATTTAAATGCTAAAGAGATCATTGCAAGAGGCTACAGCAACAGAAAAAGCAATCATATAAAAATATTCCATTTCTCCAACTGTATAATTACATGATAAATCTGCATCTAGAGATTATCTATTAGAATTCCAATTTGTAATATGTTTTTATGCTGACTGGATCGTTAGCTCTTTCCACAGACTAGCCTCTTGATGCAATTTATATGAAAGGATGAAGACAGTTGTTTATATACTTGTATATTTCCTTGCTACTTTAGTCATAACAGTGCTACAAAATTTAGAGAAAAACAGTTCCCATAAAAAGAATTAGAAACAGATAAACAGTAACAGTTATTTTAATGTGGGCCCAAGAAGCCCAACTAATACACAATAACAGGCACCAGGTAGAAATACTTTGGTAACTCATCACTAAAAACATCAACTGGGGGAAGTGGTTTTCTACTGGTATGATCATCAATATTCTCTGCCCTGTTACAGCCAGGTTTTTACTTCTGTTAAATTGAAGAAAGTAGAATTTGCATGAAATGGGAATATTTATAACTCCAGGTACTTAGAGTATCTCAATGTTATTATTAGGTCAAATAGTATGTATTGTTTCCCAGGGCTATGTACATGAAGGAGCTAAGCAACTCTACCTCTTATGAGTGATTTTGTAACAAACACAGCCCCTTAGGGGATGGGTAATCTTTGAGTGGTATAGTTTCATGCATATTTTTCCTTTTGACATCAGAAAAGTACTAATGAGAATCTTCTGCATGACATTTTTAGGTGGGCAATTCAGCCTGGTGAAAGGAGGCTGGGCTGGCTGGCACGACTGTTGAATACCTTCCTTTCTTCCTTATTCCTTACTTATTATTTCACACTTTTAACTTTGATCCCGCTGGCACTTGTCTGCTCTAGTGGCTGAGGTTGTAAGTTTATGGTCTCTCTCTGTTTGTATAGCACCAAGCACAGTGAAGCTCTGGATGTGCCTGGGACTGCAGATTTTATACCAGGCTGTACTCCAGAGTAGTTGGAAAGTCTCACACCTGGCAACAGAGTTGTGGGTACTGCACAAAACCACATGCAAAACAGTGTCTCTGCTCTGGGGTGGAATTAAAATTTGAGACTGCCAGCCAAGCCTCCTTGGGCAAAGGTAAACAAAAAAGATAGGCTGTAGGTTGTGCCAGAGCAAGTAATAAAATCCCTATTTAAAACAAGAATGCAAACAGTCAGACTTACTCCATTACCTACCATGACAGCCTTTTGTGTTCTAATTTATATAACCCACTGACTTTAATGGGTTCAAATAAAAAAAAAAATTGATTTGAAGTAGTCAAAGACATTTGCCATAACTGATTTACCCTGTTGCTTCTTTTATTCTTCATCATTAAATTGCAGTGAGAGGTTTCAAACCAATGATAAAGTTAAAAAATATTATTTTTTTAAAACAGTACACTGGGATTGTCCAACAGGAAACTATGAAGAATATTTAGAAGCATAATAACTATTGCAAAAGCACATATTTGGCAAGCAGGCCCTACCTTCTTGAAGGATAATGAACATCAGGTTGCCCTTAGCTAAAATGGAATTGGATTAATGTAGTAGAGGACAGGGTATAAATGGCTGTCTCCAACTCCGACTGTTTACATTCTTAGTGATAAATCAACACTCTGCAGTTATTTCTTTAAAAAATTCTCTGGAAAAAATTGTGGTTTATTTTCCACATGTATGTAGCTTAAAGGGAAAGGAGCTGCTCTGAGGGAGCAGACTTTGGAACAGTGGAAGTATAAAGGAATTAATCCTTTTTCTGTTGCTCAGCAACACAATGACATCACCAACAGCAAGACCAAACCATGACTTCATACTTGATCTTTTTCCTAAACTAACAGAGGAAAGCAATTTTTTCAAGGGCAATGACATTACCATATATTAGCATAATTGCATGGTTGTGATATAAGCAGCCAAAATACACGTTGTTGGCCCTTCCATTATGCTAACAGGGAACCAATAAGGTGTTCATTCTTAATTTTCTCTTGCTCCACCCTTTCACCTCAAGATCCTTCATTCCAATCTTGACTGTTTTAGAAATGGTTTTGTGGCTAAAAATTGCTATATTTGTAAAGATAAATAGTAAGTATTTTACCAAACCTATTTTGCATATCAAAGCTTGTCTGGGGATATGGAAGTAAGAACTGTTATGCCCTGGAAGAGTGGTAAACTGTGAACCTTAGCCATACATAATTCAACCTTTTTGTGCTTAAACATGTTGTCTTATTTGGGAGATTGAATTTATAGCGATTGCAGGATAATGTCTATGATTTGATAATTACTTCAGTGCTGATGTTGTTATATTTACATCAAGGAAAATAGAAGGCCTATTTATTCATGAGCTGGTAAAATATTAAATGATATCTCATTCTTGATTTAGATGATGTGAGGAAAAAGCATAAAACAGCTGCCAAGAAAAAATTTCTGATGCTGGGCAGGTTTCTATGGTCTTTACTTAATGTCGTTATAACAGAATTTGTTTTGTGGTAATGCAGTTTCAGCAGGGAAATAATTAACAGGGGTAGCAGCCATGGTTAAACTGGGCAGCCAGCCTGAAGTCACAGCAACAAATCAAATGCTGAAAATGAATCCAATCTTCAAAAATTCAATAAAATACATAAACAGAGAGGTTAAGAAATGAATATAAAGATTATATTTGGAGAAAGGCAAAAATATATAAAGTATAATCCTAGCTAATGTCAAAGGGAAAAATATTTTGTAGTGGGATAGCAAACATCACAACTCACTTGAAAACATAATCGATGTGTTAGATAAAAGTACAGCTGATATTTAAAGTTCACTAACCAGTTAAAAGGGTACCACCCAACTATTTAGGCTTAAAATGCAGTTACAATATTTAACTGTAAAAAGAATGAAATGTGGAAGGGTAAGCTCTCAAGAACACAAACCAGTTGGATACCCTCTCTTGGGCAACTAAACCATTGAGGGTACTCAAACTGGTAAAACTTTATGATCACAAAAGTGGTTGTTGATGCACTGTGATTTGTCAGTCAAATAAATCCCTTGCATAGAGATGTGTTCTGAAATAGGATTAATAAGGCTATGTTGTAGGAAAACTGATGGAAAGGGTAAAAATAGGCTTAAGGGTTAAAATAAATGATAGCTCTAGATGGAAGTCTAAACAGACATATGTCTTAATGGAGTTTTTGTCTTCACATGTGTCTTCTGAAGCAGTAAAGCTTCTTAGAGGTCTTCTGCCCTGCAACTTCTGTGCTTATAGCCAGAGCACCAGAATGGGAAATTGTAACTGTGAATAGCAGTGGCCCTGACACCAGGTAGACTCTACAGGTGAAATGGATTATTTAATCTCCGTACATGAGTTGTTCTGTTTCTTACCATGACACAAAGGGTGCTTAACCTCTGTCCCCTACCAGTAACTGGATGGGACAACTGCTGTTCTCCACCCACAGTGTCTGTGAGCACTTGATCAGGCACTATTTCAAGTACTTTGCAACTCCATGTTAACATTGGCTTCCATTGCACTGGGAGTTACTTGTCCATGTCCCCAGCATACTTTCCTGTCACATGTGTGAGTATTGCAGTTTGATGACACTTACAGGCAACACACAGTCTAGCAATAAGAACTAGGACTCTCATCTGGCCTTCTTCCCAAATGGGATATCTTACACACCCGAAAATAAGGATGCATGAACAAATGCCGTCACCTTCAGTCAGACTTACTGTAGTTTTCTTGGTGCCTTATAAAGCACTTTCTATCCAAGTGCCCTCTTCAGAAAATAACAAAAGCAATCATGATAGGTTGTTCTTAGCACTAAAAATCTCATTTGTTATGTTGTTTTAGTTGGTTGGGGTTTTTTTGTTGTTTTTTTGGGGGTGTTGGTT